ACCTCCGCACACTGACACTCTCCCACATTTACAATCTGCCCTCAAAATACATCTGTTCAGACTGGCCTTTTCAATGTGACACATTCCACTGTCATTTCAGCTGTATGTTTTAAATGTTTTTTGGTTTTAAAGTTGTACTTTTTGTAAGATGACCTTGAGTACCCAGAAAAGCATTATAAAAATACAATGTTATATTATTGTCATTGTTGTTACTCTACATGTATGTACAATAACGCATTTACCCAGTAGCAAAAAATATAATTCTGACCTACAGCTATACAAAGATGAAAAACTTCCCTAAAGGTATGAAAGAAGCAACCATCTTGTATGAAAGCCTAAACAGAAAACAGTTGCAGACTTAAAAGTAAAATTAATTTAAATGTTCTTCTCTCTTGCTGTGCCATTTCTCATAAAAGTAATACCCAGGAGAGTGGCAGCTTTAACTATACCTCTTCTGGGGACATTGTAATGAGTAAAGTCTGTACTATCAGTGACTGACAGAGCTGCCTCCAACAATGCTTCAGTTCACTTCAGTGAGAAACTAACCACAGGATGCTTTGCTCTTTCTTAATAACAATATCATGTGTGATCGTGACTCTTAAAGAAGTGAAGCGTTCAGACTGGCCATCTTATGTCAGAAAGAGCCTCTCCTGTATCTCAGCAGAGGTAAGAGGGTGGATTATGTATCTTGCATTGCAGCACACAGGTTCTATAGTCCTATAATGAACTATTGCCTCCATAACTGCACACTTTATACTCATTAAATGTGATTCTCAGGCAATCAATGGAGATCAATAGTGGCAGCTATTACTTGGTGCCGGAAAAAAACTGTCCAATACTTTTTCCCAGAGATAAATATGATTGAAAGTTTGTTTTGAGTGCATTAATTCTGTTTATCTACAGTATTTAAAATGTGTTTACCGTATAGACTGTTTCAAACATGTTGTTGTTTATTTATGTCATACTTTCCGAAGAATACAAAAATCCTTAAAAATGAGCATGTTCTGGACCCCATCAATGCAACACACAGTAAATACATGTGGGGAATGAATGGAAAGTGGAGAGGATAGTATTGGTAAGAAAGAGTAGGGTACTTTAAATGCAGAACTTTTGGACAAAAAAATAGTGCACAGTATGCTTAAAATTCTAAAACTGTTGTATTATTGTTATTATTATTGTTATTGCTCATACTGATTTACTTGTGTGTGAAAAATGTTTCTCACTGGTTGTGCTGGTGACCAAATATTTATGCATGTGAATACTAGTGACATGACAAAGAGTTTGTGAGAATTAGAGCACAACAACCCGCATTGTAAAACTTTTTTTTCCTATTTTTGGCTGACAATTAAAGTTGACTAAATGGAAATTTAGTTGCACTTTCTCACAACTGTTGTGCCTTAGGCTAACTTTTGTGGCACGATCCAACACAAATTCAAGAGCTTTAAAGCTTTACAATGAGGTACGGTATGTCTATATTATTGGCAGAGTTGAAGTTGGCTGGATGACCTGAAGTTGTGTTCATGAACTCAAGGGAAGCGGGATTGAGTGGTTCGGCAGAAGCTAAAGCGGGTAAAGGAAATGGATGGTAGCTAAAATTTAAATGCCCTGAAAATTTTTCCATTTTTACTGAGTGCACAACGTGTTGTTTTTTTGATCCAAACTATAAACTGTTCTGGAAACAGATCTCAGACAGACAAGTAGGACAAATGACTATATTACAAACCACACACTGAATGACGGCCTCCAAGGGCTCATAAAGTGCCGTTTATTTTGCTCCAGTAGTAAAGAGGCAGGTGATAGTCAGGAGAAATTGTGAGATCGCAGGACTGAAAAATGAGCAGACAGCGACACGATTCACTGAAGCATTAAGTTTTCTGTTACCAACCCAAACCCATGCTGCCTGCCTCGTCACACAGCCACAAAATTGGACTCACTGTGAACGTGTGTGGATAATCCTCTGAAGCCCCTACTCCCCAACTGGAAAATTAAATGTATGTGTAAACTGATTTCACGAACAGATGCACCTGGTCGGAAGTGTTTCACAAAGTGTCAGTGATGCAACAGTGTAATATTATTTCTCGGGAACGAATATTAAATACTATGAAGAAAAATGTATGTATCCAGTTTACCGACAAATTCCTCATTCATTTTCTGTTGCTGTATCCAATGCTGGGTCACTCGGACAGGATTTAAAATGCAGAAACTGCAGAGTGTAGAAAATCCATCCATCCGTCTTGGGTTTTCCCTGGGCCTCCTCTTGGTGGGATATGATCTAACATCTACTCCCCAAGGAGGCGCTCAGGAGGCATCCTGAGCCACCTCCACAGGCTCCTCTGGATTTGAGGAAGCAGCAGCTCCACTCCAAGCTCCCCCTTGGAGTATACCCCCTCATCCTGTCCCAGCTACTTTGCAGAGAAAATACTTTTACACTGCTTGTTTCCGTAATCTTATTCATCATCACCATAATCTCATGACCATAGGTGAATCTCTCCCTTCACCACAACCGTTGATACAGCGACTGCATCACTTCCCACGCTGTACCGATCCATCAATCTCACGGTCATCCTTCCCTCACCCGTGAACAATACTTGAAGAAGGAAATCCTCAATGAACAAAAAAGTCTAAAAACAGGATTTGCCAACAGGACAAGCAAAACAAAATTGCATATCATGTGAGAATTTGCTTGAAAATGTTTGTCAATTGATCGAAACCAAAAAGATAAAAAATAAAATGTAAGAAATGTTTGAATCATCATCCTTATTATTTGCAGTGATTTTGGCTGAAAAAACCACACACACACACAGACCCTAGGAAAAATATGTGGAATCATTGAATTGCTTGCCTTGTCTCTGTCGATGCATAGTACCTATAGAGGCATAGACCAGTACAAGAGCTGCTTTTGTAGTCTGATTACAGGAATCCAGTGGGCTATGTTCATATTGATGTCTTCCTTCATTATATCCGACAAACTCCCATATTGAAACAGAAAGTGTTACATCAGGCTGACTTTTTATGGTGTGCCAATGCCTTTATGGATACCCAGATGACTTTATACCTTCTACAATGAGCAACTCTTTCCCCTCCTCATTTTCTTTTGCAAAGGCTGAGGTGTCATGTGACGTGGATGTGTGTCGACAATTAAATATAGGGACCAAGGGGGAAAGCGAGAGAAAGCGATATCAAAGACTGAGAGTGACAGTGGGGAGGTGTGAGAAGCAACTGTGGCGAAGATGAAAGAGTGACAGGTCGGCAGCCATATTTGATGACAAAGCAGGAGGAATGCATACAAATAACAAGGGGACTATTTATGGTGCGTCTGGGAACTTTAGCGGTGACTATAAGACATGTTCAAATCTGTAAAGTCCGAGCGGGGAGGGTTTAGCAGGTGCGTGCGAGTCTGCTGGATAGATGAAATGAGTTGCAGGAAAATTACCTCCAATTGATTTAGTCTGAATTCCCAAGGCACAGCAAAAAGGCACAAACACTCACCATAACATATGCATGAACATCTGCGGCCTTCCTCACAGAAGCTGTTCCCAAGTAAATATCAACACTATCGGCACTTTCTTTCTGAAAACAACCTGCTCCTGTGCGCACTTTATTTGCCACTCGGAGCTGGCTCATAAACAGAATTAAGAAATAGAAAACACGAGTGGGAGGATGAGTATGTTAGAGGAGACTGTTAGGTCATCACTTTTTAGGTCCTCTGTGCAGACACTTCACAGTTAATTATGCATTCACGCCATACAAGATGGTGGATAAGCTACTACCTAAGGTTTGAGCTGTTGAAAACATATTTTGTCCAAACCGGTCCAGAAAGGGCTGCTGTGGCTGCAGGTTTTCTACCAGACCTAGGAGGAGCAGAGCAGACTCCACCCATTTCCTATAGTGAAGATTTGAGGTCTAGGGGGTGGGGTCTGCTCTCAACCCCTGCTGCCACAGCCACCAAAACCTGGACCGGTTTGGACACCGACATCACATGTGATGCTTTAGTGATGCTGAAGGGTTAAGTAATGTTGCCACCTTGACAAAAAACGAGTGCCGTCACCATCTGGGACTCAACACCTCAATTGCTGCAGATGATGCTTCAAATAAAATCTAGAAAATCAAAGTACTGGGATTCATTATTTATTCAGAGGAGTTGGTATTAAATAATATCAACATTATCTAATAAGTGCAAAGGAAGTGTAACTGAACATACTTATACATGTCATGTAAAACAACACACAACATCAGCCACATAAGTACACACCATTAGATCACACATATAACGTTTATTTTTTATAGTTTTATGTTAGTCGTGTTAAGTTTGTCTTATCTTTGACCATTAAGAGCACTAAAACCCATCTTCAGAACTTGATCAGGGACAGAGTAAAATAAGAAAACATTCCATTAGTAAAATGGTCCACATGGTCCACTTTGAAAACTCGCAACGTTTTTCTCCCTATTTCTATATTGTTTTGCAGAAAGATTGAACAAGATTTAGAGTATTGCCGCACTAACTCTCACCCACCTACAGATCTAATAAGAGGTTGATAGAGTTGTATTGATCCAGTCAATGTGTGCTTTCAGTCAAGGCTGAAGCCTTAATATGGAGCTTTACGTGCCTAATGTCTGTGTCAAGATATCAATCAGATCATTTTATGGTCTACCCTTTCCCCAAGAATTCACTCACTTATTTCCCTTTCCTCTTTCCCCCCAGATAAAACCAGAAGTCTACTGAAAACCCCCACAATCATCGTGTGCAGACTTTTATTGAAAAACAAAGAGATCCCGGAGCACCAATCAAGAGTCTTCAGTGTCTTACCCAGTCAGGAGGAAGTCATTAATGAAGAATATTGGATTGTTGAATACTGAACAGTCTCCTGCTTCCACACAGCTACATAAACTATTTATGTGGGTGTTTTCAGAGAATATAATCCTGCACATTCTGGCCGATGGCAGCACATGTTGTCCTCCCCTTCAGCACGTCGGGGGGCTAGGCGGCCCATCAGGGCACTATGGGTAGGAGGGTCACAGACTCTACAAATCCAGTGCCTACTCTGGGAGTTCCTCTAGCTGGGGGGAGATGGGGTCCACTGTGCAATGTTGGGGTGCAGACTTCACCGAGACTAAGAGTTCTCTGCTCAATCAAGCGAAAAAGCAGACAGCCCTCCACCTCACAGCTTCCGCTGCCCATAGCAACCACAAAATCAACACACGTGGAGGCAGCTGCCATCCCCAGTGACAACAGTCTGCCAGTGTCCAAAGAGACGTCTCAGAATGAGATCAACAGCTTGACACAAGACGACATGGGGTCACAGGGATCTGGCAGTGGCATTTACTGTCAGATCAAAGCAATACAGAGTAATCCCAAGGACGCACAAGGTAAAAAGACAGCCCGCTATGCAAATGGCAGCGTGGTTACCTCAGACGTTGTGGGTGGAGTGTGTAGTGAGACCACAGATGGCAAAGAGCCAAACAGGGAGAGGAGAAGAGTCCAGTCCCTGCGAGGTGAGGGCCATCGGCATGTGGCCAAAACAACCAGTGTCTGTAGCACTGTCCATGCCACACCTCCTCGCCCTTGCCGTGTCATGGCCTCGTCCCCATCTCGAGTGTGTGGGACATGTGGCAGGAGACGGTCACAGATTGCACCGTGTACAGGGGCATGTCGCAAAAAGCCTGCTGCTCAAATCACCGCCAGCCAGACTTTGCCTAATCCTGCTCGAAAACAGTCCATGCCTGCCCACCATCCACGTAAAGACTCATCCGTGGTGGATGCCCAAACAAATGCCAAAACCACACATGTTGCAAAGTCCCACACATGTGCAAAGCCCAGTCAAATACCACAGCTATCTCACACTATACCAAAAACACAGAGATCACAGTCAAAACACTCTCTGAACAAAACTAATCCGCATACCCCGCAGACACGGCCACAGTCCGCTGACTTCACCCAGTACAAGGATTCCGCCACACAGACAATAGAGACACAAAACAATGTCACTGAGCAAACTACATCTGCAGAGGAGGCACAGGAGACTAACATGCAGGACGTAATGAAAACAGATAAAACGCAAGCAAATGTATCAGTAATTAAAAACACAATTCCTCCAGTTTGTTCGAGCCTCACGCACACCAGCAGCACCTCTCCTCTTCCCCCTAAGGCCTGCTCCAAACCCACCACCCCAGTACTGCAAACCAAAAATCGGACAAAAGGTTGTTCCGATAACAAACAAAAGGATTATACAAAACAGAAAAGCAAATCATTTGAGGATCATGTCCTGCCTTGTACGACGCATCTGAAAGCACAATGTAATGGGGCTCCAGGGGGATTGTTAGGAGCGCATGGACCGCGGGGACTCCAGGGACAGCTTCAGACTGTGGAGGAGAACCTAGTGTCCAACCAGGAGAAGATCAAAGTACTTCTCAACGTCATTCAAGACTTGGAGAAAAGCAAGGCACTCAGCGAAGGGTAAGAGACAATATTCTTTGACAAATGATAAAATAAATACTACACAGTGTAAAGAGATACGTATGTGTTGTGATTGTTGACTGATCAATTCATAGATCATAGCATTAAGGTCAGACGTTATAAATAAAGCTCAAGTGGGATTTTACAAAAACAGATCCTCGTTTATAGCATGAGAAGAGTATAGCATTTTCTTCAGATGAGATAAAAACAACGATAGAAAGCTAGAGGTTGACAGTTTTAGTCGCAAGATTAAAAGCCTAAAATTAAGACTAAATTAACAAATTATTTCACAACTAAGGAGAAAAAAATAATATATCATGTTGCACAGATTGACAGGTAGAGAATTGGAAAGATTTGCACAACAGTACTTAAAATAATCTTGTATTTGAATGACCGCAAATGTGACATTGGATAAAAAGGCAGGCAAAAATATTATTGCTATATTTTTTCTATATCTTTGTCCAATGATACAGTAATAATACACTTATCAGATGCAGGCCTCGAGCATACAGATTGGGGGAACCTATCCAAAGAAATTATAAAAGGCATAGATGAGTTTCACTGTTTTGACTGTGATTTTGTTTAATAAAAAAGTACATTGACTAGTAGCATTTTATTTCTCAAGAGTGTCTTTATGTTGCACGGCCAACTGAAGAATGACAGTGAAAAAGAGAACATTGAGGATGTAACTTTCAAGAGGACAGACTTATAGAAATTAATACTGACAGTCTTTCAAGTCACTGTGATAGTTACCAAATATCACAGCTTTTGGGAATTGCTGCAGCCTATACGTTTGAGTTTGACCTCAACTGTCTGTGCTCGTTTCTTTTATCTGTTTTATTGTGAGAAGCAAAATCAATCCCTTTAAAAGTGTCCCCTGGAGATGTAGAAAAACAACCTCCTAAATCTTGAATTAGATTTGTTTTTCCCCCATTTCAGTTTGATATACTTCATGCAAGCCCTCACATCTGCTAAACTTTTATGCTCACCCGTCTCAGTCTTCAACCTTTCATCAGCGCTGCAATCATAGAGTTTTGCACCCTTCTTTGTGTGTCACTGTCTTCAACAATAGGAGGCTCACTATTGTGCACTCTCTTGTTGACCCATTCCCTGAGCCACAGAGCCGCACTGCATTTGTATTACCTCTCATGTGTATTCATACTCGGCCCACCTCTGACCTCTGCTTTCAATAGTTAGTTTTTTACTATTTCCACATTTCACTGCTGTCTCCTCTTTTCAGTCTCAGATTCATAACAAGCCCCTTTGGTCTCTTCTGTCATAGCTGCATGCTTGGCTTTTCCATGCATCAGTTTGATTTTATTCAGGTCAACACATGTGCCTGGCATCTTAAAAAAACTCCTTTTCATAGCATCTTTAACAAGCATGAATAGAGCAATGTTATTAAACTGGCTGCATCCAGTGTCCTGGTTCTATGACTGCAGAAGATCAGAAGTGCAGACCATCACTGTGTTCAATGCTTTTAATGATGGTACAGTATGTTTCATCATTTTACAAACGGATGCAAAAACAAAACAAACATAAACACATTTGTTATCCTAATATCTACTTCTAAAAATATTCTAGACTCCACTTTTGTTTGCTTAAAACCGATATTTTGTCTCATTAAAATGTCTGTCTTCATCATTTTGAATAAAACACTCAGACAAGCATGCGGTTCACAAAAGGGGCAGCCAAAGTATCTCGGCAAAATGGTGCATTTAATTACTTCACAGTCAGAATGAGCTTGTCGGCTGTCGTTTTGACTCAAATAGTTTCAGTAATGGAGCGGCCCTCCATCATAAGTGACATTGAAAATGTTCATAGTGTCATCAGTCAAAGATTTGACTTGTTTGGCCAAAGCAAATTAAAAGTGACTCATGCCCTTGGGATATTTACAACATTGATGAGATCATGAAGTTATATTTCAATTCTGCAGGTTTAAGAGAATGATGGTCCAGCTTACTCTTCTCTTTTCTACAGTCGAACCTCATACAGAACTGGTCAAGACATAAACGACTGCTCCACTTGCCAAAAGACGGCATGCATCATCTACAGGTAAATGTATTCAAACATTTAAAGCCAATTTATTCAAACCTACAAAGATCAGAGCACGTTCAGGTCATGTGACATGCAGCATGTTGAAGGGTTCACATGGACAGCTCTTTGCTGCTCATGGCTGAACAAACAAAGGCTCAAATCCAATCATTCACAACAGTCTAATTTGTAATCAAATGTTCCTATTTGTTTTCATGTTTTACTATTATCCTACATTTAATAAAGTCAAAACCGGGGCAACTCCTAAATAATGTAAGAGAATTTCCTGTGTATACATTAAGATATCAATATCAAACGTCTCTTTCCAATATTTCTACATAACACAACGTTGTTGCACACAGAACTTCAGCAGCCCCTAAATGATCTGTTTCCCTTTTCAGCCATCCCCAGTGGGTGTGTGACCTAAATAAGTAATTGCATTCACAGATCCTAGGCCGAGGAGCATCCCAACAATCTGATTGTATACATTAATCCTCTCAGTCTATTCAACTTTTTTCTAATGAAAATCATCTTTTCTTCAGACAATAGTCAGCCTATGGGGCCACGTTCTCACACAATAACAATATGGTGCATTTGCAAGAAATATTAACAAATACAGAGATACAATGATGTGCCTGTAGAGATGCCGCTCTACTCCAAACGAGCTGTAATTGTACATTATATAAACTCTGGCAGAATTCACAGGTTTTACATTTTCTCCTGTGTTTGTCAAACTATGCATCCAATCTCACAGTGTTGCATTCTCTAAATCCCGATTAAACACAGCAGGGCTCCACACTTCCACAATGTTATTCACCAATAGGATCTGATCTGTCTGCTTCATCAAAGGATCTGCATATATTATATCAGGAAAACCAGAAGGAAAACCAGAAGGAAAACAAATACATGTTTCCTTTTGACACACAGTTATGCCGTTTGAATACATTTAGACTCAACACAATATGGAACTAGTGAAAATGCTAATAAGTGAGAAATATGTACGTACATACATGCTCATTCCACACAATATACATTCGCTGCTTGGTGAAGAGTTTACAAACTGAAATTGCCTTTATCACTATTTTATGCCACATAAATAATGCACAACATTACACAAACCTGCATAGTTTCAAGGGTGAAAGTGAATGAAGGATGTTGAAAAGTGAATAGTTTAATGGGGCTGCACGCACACGGTTGTTGTCGCTGCTGTCATCACTAATTAATCTGAACATTGTGAAATAAGAGGAAAGAGACGCCCTGAAAAGCTTTGGTTGTCACGGCGCTGGGAGACAAGCCGCAAATATCAGTATGGATGAAAGTATACTTTATGCAAGAGATAATGAATGTGTTTCGACAATAGAAGGATTCAAATAATGAGTGATCTCAAAAGAACTCCACAATTGTGAAATGCTTGCAGAAAATTTGACTTGAGTCAATCTGTTGTGATGAAGTTCCAGAAGCGCTGCATATGGCACAAACAGTGAGGGGTAAAAGATTAATTTGTATACATATGACACAAGCTGGAGCATCTAGTATCTATTTAAAATTATACTTTTCCTCATACTTTCTTGCTTACGTTTCCTACAACTAATAAAAGGGTTCTAAAATAATTAATACAAACATATTTATGAATTATTCTATCTCCCATTTTTTCCCCCTCAAATACATAACATCTTCAGGCATATTTTTTTTGTTTTAAGTTAAATCACAAAAGGTTCAGCCATAATATTACGGACTCTGACAGGTACAGTCATTGACCATTACTTAATAAAATTTAAAAAATCTAAATAATGTACATAAGTGGTCCCGGAATCATTTCCATAGCCCACAACACCAAAGTAGTGGCAAGAAGATTAGTTATTTCCAAAAAAAAGGCACATTTTCCCAAAATAAAAAAAGTTTTGTTTTGTTAAAAGTGCATTCATTCATTATCTAACATGTTGTCTTTTGTATCCTTGTATGAAAGTCACTATTTGACACTGGGCTGAGAGCTGATTGGTCGAGTGATAGTGGTCCACTATTCTTTGTGATAAAGGCCCTTAAATACATGCATATGTAAATGAGAGACAGGAACTAGATGGATTTTATTACCGGTACAAAGTAAAACATTTTTTCTGGTTTGAAAGTAAGGTACCTCAACTTTAATAAAAGAAATAAAAATGCTTTTTTTCTAACTTCAGTTGAAGCTTCCCCAAATCAGTTATTCAACAGACCTCTACTTTGCACTGTAGTAATCTTACTTTCACTTGAGTGCATTTCGGTTTGTATTACTGCTAGATAGTTTATGCATACTGTAAATGTAAACTTGTAAATACATTTAATCAGTGTAAAAAAGGAAATCTGGAGGTGGGCGGATCTGTTCCTCTCCTCTTGCGTGGTCACATGGCTCATTACCTCCAGATGCTAGCTTTCTGCTGCTCCACCCAAAAAAATGCCTCTCTCTCTTTCTTCTATGAATTACTAGTTAAATATATTACAATCTACACGTTTGAATTAAAAGTCCAGCTCAAATCATACCACACCGTGAACTGCAGCTACGGACACTTCACAGAGAAATGGGGAGGGAGGCCACACAGATATGGAGAAAAGACCAGAGTATGAAGAGCCAAAGAGGGGCAGCTTTGAAAACATCAAAAAACTTCTCTCCTCCTTTTATTCTTAGTTCCTATATTTTCCAATTTTCTCCTTCCTGCGCTTTTTTTTCTCCTCTTCCATCCCAGTCGCCTGTGATCTACTGGTGCATGAAGAAGCTAAGGATCTAAACGTGAAATGAGTGCAAAGTAAAAGCCTGCATTATCTTTGTGTGTGGTCTTGTGCGTGTGTGTGTGTGTGTGTGTGTGTGTGTGTGTGTGTGTGTGTGTGTGTGTGTGTGTGTGTGTGTGTGTGTGTGCATGGGTGTTTGTGTGTCTGGGTAAGCTGCGGGTGCAAATGCAAAAATAGTGAAGATTAAATGTGTTATCAATAATATCGCAAGATTAATTCTACTTTTTACTTATTTATTTACATTGGACACCTCCTGCCAGAAAGGTCATTCTTCTGGCCATACTTTGGAGATCCTTGATGATAACACACACACACACACATTTTATATTATATTTTTTTTACTTACTGTTGGTGGTTGTGTGTAGCTAAATATTGCCTAATAAACAAGTTTTATACATTCAATTTAGACATCATTGAGGTGGTCTGTGGGGGTCAAATGTGCAGTTTATGCACATTTACACTTCATCTACAACTACCACAAATGTCTTAATGTTAACAGCTTGGAGTCAACACATCCTAGATGGAAACACTAATCACGGTCATTCGGGTATTTTATGTTGGCATTATCATTTGAAAAAAGAAAATCACATTTTGAATATGTTATTTTACTTAATTGACCCAGTGAAGAACTTACTTTTCCTGGGCTACATTAGACAACCCATGTAATTGACCCAACCACTAACAAGAGAAGAAATAATCTAATGTTCTGCCAGGGGGTGTAAACTTGAAAGCACGACTGTATTGATGTTTTTATGTTCCTTGTTTTTTCAGTGTGGAGCATGATTTCCGGCAGCAAGAAGGACGTTTCCAGGGAGTCATGGAGGCTCTGGAGGGGGAGTACGATGTGCCTGTAACCACTCAGACTAAAACAATGCCAGCCTCCTCCTCCAGCCGTGCCAGCACCAAGGCAAAAGTCAAGAAACTGCGTAAAAAGTGTTTCTGGTGGCTTTAAGCATCCACAGAAGATTTAGCTTTTTGGGATGGGGATATGTCGCTGTGTACTGGCCCCTGCATCAGGAGTGACGGACAGTGACAGGGCAGCGGTGATTTGTAATCAACAGTGAAATGAAAGTCGACGCTCCGCTCTGAGGTAACAAGTGCTGACATTTTTGATGAAGCGATGACATTTCAGATGGCACACAGGCAAAATCACCACACCGAGTTGTTGTCCAGACAGACGGACGTGTCATTGGATTTATGTCAAGGCGGATCCTCGCACACGACTGGGATTAATCTTTTCACTCAAATCTGCGGTGATTGGGGAATATACATGACTTTAATATTCAAGATGTTTACCAAACAACTGCAGTACTGAATGGCTTAAATGCCTGAAAATGAATGTATTTTCAACAGATTGTCTAAGTAGAATAAACATGCTTTTGTAATGGTACTAATGGGTGTAATAAGATTTGACTGAATGTTATAGTTGCTTAGGGCTGTGCTAAGCTGCAGTAGGAGACATGTTACTCTCATCAACCAATCATAGACTGGCTATGTGCCAGTTTGTTAACAGTGACTGAAAGAACTATTCATTCTGTATTATTGTAAATATAAACCGGAAATAAATACTATGATAGACACTAACTATGTTGCACATGAATGGAGACATACAGTATCTGTATTCTACTATAACCCAGTATTCAGGTCATCGACACTCAATTAACGTTTGTCCAGTTAAATTCTATTTTATTTCTTTTTTTTTTGACCCTGGCGTCAATTAGGGTCATTTTCTGTATGAAAGTATATGGGGATGGGAATGAGTTTGTACCACCTCATCATACAGCATTATGTTAGTGTGTCCAATAAACACATTTTCTTCAAATATTAAAGGTCATATTTTACCCATTTTGTTTCCACACATGACAGAAATGCAGCGTTTATCTAAACAAACCGTGTCCGCTCAGGTTTGGAGAGAATATATCACAGCCTCAGTTGAAACCAGTGAAAGTCTTTCTATACAATTGTAAAACAGAACCAGTCCCAGTGGGTCACTCTAATGGATTCCTTAAACTTTTAACATGGTAAGACAACACATTTATTGGTTTATTGGATAAAAAGTACATAATAACCCAACGGAAAGTGGCTTAAATAACTTAAGTTCAGGCCTTTACTTACTATGAGAGCATGTTCTCGCCTCATTGAGATGACCGTCCTGTTGATAATGGTGAGCAAAGACACCACAATGTCCTGGATGTGTTGAAATGTTTCCCCCTAGAGCAAATGAAAGAACAGACATGTCACTACGAGTTCCAATAAGCATGATGCATTAGGGTGCAGCCTGGAAAAGTGTCTGATCCAAGCTTCTATCCATCTATCAAGATGTTGATTTCAAAATCTGAATAACACAATTGTCCAAAATAATAATTAAAAAGAAACACATCAGAACCGTAACACGATACTGAGCTAAAAAAAAAATATGCCACTAAGTTAGTGAACATTTATTCCTGGAGTATTCTAGAAGGCTGCATGTCTTTCTAGGACAGGGCGCTTGCTAAGTGGGAGAGAGGTGTAGGGTCAGAGACAAGACAAGATACATTTTTCCAAAATGTCGCATTTTTTACCCATGTTTTATCACTTTTTGCAGTGTAAAAAGACAGGCGGATATAGACAAAGTAGTTCATTAATAGTAGTACATTTGAGAACACAGAGTGAAAACATTTTACCTGGTAGTTCTTTTGGCAAACTCCCAAATGTCATAAATATCTGTTATAAATAGTTGGTTAAAATTCCACATGAAAGCGGTTGTACTCTCTCTACCCGGGTTGCAGTCATGGCCTTGGTATAAGATTGTCAATGAGGGCGGACTGCATTGCCGTGGGTCATTAGTGTGCAGTGAAGCAGCTGTTAACAAGACCCACCTATGCTTTAATACTACGGGGGGCAGTGGTCTTTACATCTGTGCATAATTAAAACAGTATCTACCAAATTATATATGCTTGTTTGGGTTGTTCCAGTCATATGATTTTAAAATATGAATATGGAAATGACAGCATTAGCATAAGCAGGCGGCGTGGCAGTAATGACTGAGCATGGTCACAGAAAACTGTTCAGAGGGAGAAGAAAACCATAACATTCATAACATTTTTTTTATCACATTTTGTCTTGAATTAATTGAAGACAACATTAAAGGGACAGAATGTCTTAGTGGTCTGATAAAGTCATAACATGCAATCCACCTGCTGGGGTTTAGCTAGAAACAGTGCAAACTCTGCATTACACGCAAACATATTTTTGTACATGCTTGCTTTCATTTTAACACATGTGTAGTGCTATTTTTCGAGAATGTTGTTATAAAAAAAGATATTGAAGGTCAAGCCAATACCAGCTACATTTCACCGAAAAAAAATGGCAACCCAAATGAGGGCCTCTTTCTACATAAACATAGGTATTATAGAAATCAAATACATTGTTTTTAGTTTTGTTTTAAGAATATCTCCACCCTAATCTTTAGTTCAGAAAAGTTTGAATATGATTTGAAAATGTGACCTAATATCTGGGGATGTAAATTATGTAGATGTAATTTAAAAGGAAAATCTAACACATTTCCTTTGAGTACAATGTGGTTATTATTATTATTTATTATTTGTTTTACCTTAAGACAAAACAAAAATCTTGTGAGAAAAATAGGCACAGGAGAGGTGAAGCCAGCCACGACTGACTTTGAATGTTTGTTATCCTTTTATCACAAAGCACAATCCTGAGTGCACCAGTGAAAGCAGCTTACTTATGCATTCAATACGAGCTCTCCACACCTCCCCACCATTTGTCTTGAGTTCTCTGTGTGCTTCCGACAAGTTTGGAAAAATGTGTGCTTTGACAACTTTATAGCAAACTAAAAAGAAAATAAACGGGTGGTGGACAAGCATGTAATTGCTTTCAAAACAGTGGTGGTAAATTATTGAACAGTACGACAGAAACCAGCTCGTCATTCGCTTACGCTAACAAAAATAGCCTGTGGTTATAGTCATGCACTGCTTTTTTTATGAAGGGAAATCATTGTGTGAACATTATATCAAATTTAATCAGTGAGTGAAATTGATGCTTACAGTATAAAGTCTAAGCTATGGACTCCCATGTCTTGAGTGTTTTAAATATATTGGGTCGAATGGGGTTAATTAAGAATAAATATATTCTGTATAACTATACAGATTTCAGATTCCCAGTTGCATTTGCTGCCTCTTTCCGCATAACTTCAGGCAAACCTTGAGAGGCTCTTCAAAGGACAGGTCCAATTTAAATGTGGCTCAACTTTTCAAACATTGGTACGTTTTGAGAAAGCAAACGTGACAAGCCCCTTAGAGTCACAAGAGTAAGGTTAGTTAGCTTACTGTAGCCACAGCGGGTCAGCGTTAGACAGTTCTGCCAATCTGCCCTACAGGCGCCTGTGACCACCACTATCATTAACAAACCACATTCTAATAAAAGTGACAACGCTGGTGGTGACGGTAATTCCATTCCATCTCAGAACGACACAAGATAAAAAGCCTATAGGTCCTAAAGCCATTGTTTGAATCACACTTGTTAGTACTCTGCAAAAAGTGATGAAAAATATGTCAAAAATTGTTCAAATTTGGTTAAATTATCTTCATTTGAGCATGTTTTGACAAGCCTGACTCTCGCCAGACCCTTGTAGTTCCGTTTGCCAGAACACAAGGCTATGGGATCGAGCGCAGTGCAAACTCCTTCAGGAGATAAAAAAATAATCAGCCAATCAAGATCACCGGTATAACGTTAGGTTTGCGCCGCCTTCTCGTGCGTGTCTCATGGCAGCCAAAGCAAAACCAAGATGGCGGACATAAGGTCGGTGAAGTAAAAAAAAAAGTAAATACGAACTAATTAAGACACGGATGTCACTTTGAATGCAATTTAAGGCGAGATGCTGATGGTTCCATGTTGTTATATGTGTTTTAGGAGTAAAAGGTTTGTGTAAAGTTTGGTTTAAGTACAAGTTTAAGTGCTCCTGTCACAACACTACGCAGCAGAGTTGCCAGACTTTTGTTCCAAGCAACTTGTCGGTAAAGATAATAAACAGAATCATGATAGCCCAAGTCATTCTGGGTGTATTTTTTTTGGGCATTTTAGCAGATTTCGGGTTGGAAAATCTTGCCGGCATTTGGCAACCCTGCAACGCAGTGAGGATTGTGTGCTGAGTTGTGTGCTTCGATATGAGTGGTTGAAGGAACACGTCATTCAAGATAACAGACAAGTGGTTTATCCAATCACATACAAGGATTTTTTTACGAGGCCCGCCTTCTGAAATTAATTTGGTATGAAGCAGACCCAGACCCTTGTGTGAAGCTCAGTGAAATACAAGGGTCTGGCGAGAGTCAGGCTATGTTTTGACTGCCTTCAAACAAAATTTGCCAATGGGACAAGCAAAATTATCTTGTTTTAAAGAGATACAAGAAATGTCTCCCTTGGAATGAGAATATAAAACAACAGTTCTTAAAATAAGACAGTTAGAATGTACTCAAATCAAGATACAAAACATTTTGGAACATTTCGATGATCATTCTTTGCAGTGTAGGATTGTAGGTCAAAGTCTATTTGTATTTAGTAATCAAAGTACAAAGTTATCTTTATTGTCCCACTAGGGGAAATTGGTTTTGCAGCCAGCAATCATCTGAAAAACAGGCAGATACCGTAAAATCATCGAAGATACATCGAAGATACATCGAAGATAAGAATAAGAGAGCATGTTCTTGTTATCTTTGAAGTTGGAGTTTTACAATTGAGCCTTTTTTTTGATCAATTGTATTAACATTCAAAAGATTTAAGACTCCATGTATTGCCACCAACCACACTGCACAGTATGAGGAGTGCTTAAACGGCAGAATGCCTGATGTGTACTGTATGTCTACTTTGTAATATGGAGAATATGGAGAGTGTAGCGAGGATGTTTGACAAATAAGTGTTTATTTCAAACTTATATTTCTCAAACAACAAAACAAACACACACACACACACAGCTGACAGGACTAACCACAGAGTCTCTGCTGAGGACTTCCAGGATGTTGTTGAGCAGTTCCAGACTGTTCCTGCGCTCGTCGTGGGGTCCATCGGCCATGCTGGCTAATGCTACACGCAGCTCCATCAGCATCATGGGGAGTAACACATCTCGGCACTCTGAGGAGTAAAAGATTGATTTGCTAAAAGGTAGAAATAATTTAAAGTTCAGTTTGAAGCAATGTCCATGAACAAAGACACAGTTGGTTGATATTTTGTTATGTCACGACCACTAACAAAGTTGTGTATGTATCTAATTGTTACCACAGCAATCTTCAGGCTGAGAGTTCTTCCAAGTCTGTTTTGCATAATAGCTAAAGCTCTATCACATTAGATGTTTGTGAACACAAGTTTTTAGATCTGGACTTTTACTGGGACAATCAAACAAATGAATTTGCACTATTTCATTGTGTGAAAAGATTTTGTGTCCTAATAGGTTAAAATCCACTCCAGTATCAAGTCTTCTACAGACTCCCTACAACTTGTCCTGGTTTTGAGCTCCATCCACTTTTCATCATGAGTTTTCCACCACACAAACAATTATATTTAGGCCCAAAAGTTCCATTACAATGCTTCCTTTTAAACAGCAATGTACTTATTTTTTTTATATTATTTCACTCCATACACAGTGAGGAAAACGAATGTAGACACAACGTCCCTGGGGCAGACTGAAAGAAGCGTGTGCCATCAGCGCCTCTAACCACCTCAAATCATTCATGCACACACCAGGAATCTGTTTGCACTCAGAGAAAAGGTGGCTGAATACCTTTGCAAGCCCCATTTGCACTATAGTTTTAGTTTTGATTGTCTATAATTAATTGTGATCATTAATTTGTGATGGTATTTCTGAAAAGTATATGTTAATGGTTGTGACAAAATGTGGAAATAACCTTTCACGCCACTAAAATCATTATAGTTTTATTCAAAGAGGTTTCTGAAACACCAACATTCTTCAAATGTCCACATACCAAAGTTTTACATAATGTAAAGGAGAACAGCAGGGACATGCGAGCAGCTGACCCCAGCAGAAATTCTTCTGTAGTTAAACCAATTTAAATCAACACCTTGAAATGAGAAACACTTGCTCATGACTTATAGATCAGAATGCATACATGCATGCTCTCTGAAAATAAGATCACAACTGTTGCAAATGCAGTCCCAGGGCCCTTTAATCATTTGGTGCAGCACCTGTAGAAACAGCTGCACCCACAGTGCCATGAATAATGACGCTATGGGCTCCTGAAGAAGAAATCCAGCCTGACCCCTCAATGGTGTCGTATCAATCAAGTGTCTGCATACAGTCCCAACCAGAAGCACTGCTCCGTCAGCCGGGAAGTCAACACATCAGTCACCCAAACCTGAAGTTCTAAAATGCTTTTTCAAATTAATCTTCATTAAATGTCTCAGCTCCAAAAGTATATCAACAGGGAAGACTCATTAGTGTCAATTAATAATTTGGAATACATCTACAGTTGTTGAATAAAGAGTTATTGGAAATTGACGAGGAACTGTTTACAAGAATTGTACTTAGAGCCAGTAAGTACTGCACATTCAACAAGTCACTTCGACAATGACAGAGCATTAGCAGACCCATTATATTACCAGACCCATTATATTACGTTAAATGCAACTTGTGTGCAACATAACATTTACTTTCCGTTTTCCTGTTCAAGAGCATTCTAAAAATAATCCAGAACATCTCTATCCTGCTTGTCCCATCTGTCTGATCCGCTGCCCCCTGCCTCGTCCCATCTCTCTCAGTGAAGCCGCAGGTAGAACTGAAGCCATTAAAATCTCATTTCAACTGACGCTCGTTGTTGTCATTATTAACGAAGCTAAGTCTTCGCGCCGCTGAGTGGACCCTCAACAACACTCACTCCATCAAAAGGCTAAACTAATCCGACAGACACTAAAGAGATCACTGACTGTTAGGCTCGGACAACATTCAAATACTAGATGAATTCATTTTTCAGAGAGGGAAAAGGAGAATATGGATATTGTTATGGTTTTTTTAAGTTTTAGTATGGCCTCCAGCCAAGCTACTAACTGTCAGTGCTAACCATTCCCTCAGAAAATATTGGCTCCTCTAGCAGTTGATCCAGAGACATTAAATAATGAATGAATAGCTGAAGGCATATTACTCTACAAAAGTTAAAATCAACAGAAAAACTAGAAAAAATGCTGCAATTATTATTTTGTATTATAACATTTCCTCCTCGATGAATTAAATGTTTGATACAATACACAGGAGCACTGTCTGTATTTCTTTTATAGTGTGTATGTATGCACTTAAAGCTCTGAAATTTATTTTGGGATATCTAAATTTAGATTAACTTGGGAGCGACAGTGGCTCAGTTGGTAGAGCATTGGCCTCTGGGCCTGAAGGTCGTGGGTTCGATCTCACCGTAAGACCTACTTCACGACTCCCACTGATGTCTGCTGTCGTTGTGTCCTTGGGCAAGACGCTTAACCCCACTTTGCCTGAAGCCCTTGCTGAAAGATCAAGGCTCCTGTGGACTCACCATCTGCAGGAAGATCAGTGAGGGGCTGGTGCTCTGTGAACTGGGTGCAGCTCTGACTGCCACCCCCCCCAACCCAGAAATGGATTAAGGGGAAGACAATTGATGGATGGTAATCTATATTTAATCTAATTCATCCAAGAGTTTGCCCACATGTGGAAGTGATTAGCACTCCTTAATTGATAAATGAGAGAAATAAGTTTCATCATGCACATGTAGAAGTACAGTGTAAACCACAATACCCTTATGATACAAGAGTAGTTTTGTTGTGGGAAGTGGAAAGAAAATAATGCAAGCACCAACAATAAATATTTTAAAAGCACTCTTAATTTATTTTGAAGGAGCACTTCTAAAACATCTGGGATCTGGATTACTGAATGGCTTTGTATGCTCCTATTGTGCTCTTACTACTGTCCTGTATGAGCGCAACCAACATTTTCCCACAGTGGGAAGAATAAAGGTTCCCTTTTCTTGACGTGTCCCACTCCTGGCTTTTCTGAAAATGCCTTACTTTCTTTTTTTTTCAGTTATGTAGCCAATTATCTAACAAACTAGCCGACAAACAAACCCTGTGTGTTACATTATGTCTTGTAGTCGGAAACAACACAGCCTTTCTTTTGTCAGCATCTTGGTCCAATAACAATAATGCACTTCTGGCGTTCCTATAGATCTGTGTCTGCGTTGTCTGCTTTGATTGTTGCAGTGTTTTACTTTAAATACTGCCTTTGAAATATCTCTATGAAGACATCAAAATAATGAACGACACAGGGCCTTACGAATACTCCAGGTATTTCTCAGTTCACAAAAGCAATGTTAATATGTGCTGCCTAAGCCACAAAAGTGCTGTTGCTAAAGAGGTCTTTGGAGGTAGCTTCAGGTCAAGGCCATGTTTTAAGTGACACTTTTGTGGGTAAAGATATTTGGGAGCAACACAACTACTCATGTATAATCATAACTCTAAATTCATGAATGCACTGACAAAATGTTGTTATCTTTATCCTGCACCTGCATATAACTTTACAACAATACATGCTGGTACTATGGTCAGACAGCGCACGAGCTGCAGTGAAGACTGAATCCATGTCTATAGCCAACTAATAACTTTTAGTTTGCTTTTTTCTTTAAAAAAACAAAGAAATAATAATGTCAACATGCCTTCACTTAAACAGTTTTAGGTGTCGTCCAGAGAAAATCACTGCCAGCTCCAGGGGTCAGACTGATAAAATGAATATTTTCATTTGTCAGTCATTTTGACGCTGATAGAAAATTAGGGTCATAATAAATACATTACATTAGGTCCACTTCGGTTGCTGTGACCTGTCCTGCTCCACCCAGAGGCTACACCATATCTGCTGCTGTTGCTTACTATTACTTTTGTTAGCTTTTTAGAATGATCAATTCATTTGTTTTGTTTGTGTGGATGGATGTGTTTTTGCTGCTTACGGGACGCCTGGATTTCTTCTACTGGGATCAATAAAGTATCTATCCATCTATAAATCTATCTATATAATAAATTATGATTCATCACATGTTAAACTATCGAGAAATGTTACTACATTTTTTTGTTTTATCTTGTATGACAAATACAATTACAAAAAATGTCATACAAGATATTAAATGAATGAGATGTAAAAAAAACTACCACTGTCAAAATTATTGCGTTAAGGCATGTTAATAAAAAAATTTCATTAATCACATAAAAAAAATGAACGCATTTGACGCTTGTGCCGAATAACCCGCCCATGCATCCCATAATAACACTTAGAAGTGACCCGGACAAATGCTTGTGAGATGGCGACAGAGCAGGTAGGCATTAGTTAGCATTAGCACAGCTTATAAGTTGTACAGCAATGACTGATGAAATGGTACAAAAGAAACCCACTGGTAACAAGATATACAGTTCAATAACAGAAAGATTACCACCAGTTTCGCGTCCAAAGTTAGTCCAAGGTGGTCCTGCTCCTGCAGGTCTCTTCCAGAGGGGGCGGGTCCCGGCTAAAAAGGGGCCAAAATGACGTGCGCTGACATGCTTGCAATACCACCCCGGGCCGATGGGGATGGACCCGGAATAAGAATTAGTCAATGCTAACATATAGCATCTTCTTACTTCTCAAAAACATCTTTACAGGATGGTCCAAAAGTTGGCTCTTGGCCCAAAGCTCCGTTCTACATGTGTGTCAATGCTGAGGGGAGTGAATTTCTTTGGACCACTCTAGTTTAGTCGCTGTGAATTTTTGAAGGCACTCGTTAAATGAATGGGGCCCGCGCCAGCTGGCGCATGCGCAGATGCGTTTTTTTCACACATTTCTTGTGGGCGGGACCACTCGTGGCCATTTTGGATATCTTCAGTTGAGCACAATTTTTGGCCCATTTGTTTGAACGGCGGAGATACAGTCTATGGTTTCTACCAAGCCCCGGTGATCCAAGATGGCGCCCTATTCAAATGAATGGCTTGTGCTCCGTAGCGTATGGGACTTCACGGGGACCGGGAGATTAGCTGAACTCGCATATATTTGGGAATCGTCTGGTCCTCCCGGTTCTGCGCAGTGGACGAGCTCCATAATGACGTTATAAAGGGCGGGGGGACAGGTTATGAAGGGT